ACAATAGGAGGATCCATTCCGGCGACTCCTGAGCCAGCAGCTCCACGGAGCAAATCTCATGTGGAAAAAGCCAGCTCCGGCTTAGACGGTACTCGGTCACGGTCGATCTCACCAGATTCTGACTATCCATACAAGAACCGTGACGCCAGCCTAGGAAGAGACCACCAGCAGAGCTCTAGCGAGCCATCAAATGATAGTACAATTAGGGAGAGCGTATCACGAGATGGGCCCGCATATTCACTGTCGAGGTCGAGTCGTTATGGTGAAGGCCTGGGCATCGAAGGCGCACCAATTGATCACAGGACCAAGCGGGACTCGGGCTATACAGATATATTGCGCAATCCTGAGCGACTTGGAGAGGCCGAAGAACCGCACCAGTCAAGGTTCTATCTCTGGAATCGCAAGAAGAATGTACCGTACGGTATTCCAAGTCCTACTCCTCACGGTCGAGAGGAAGACGAATTCCCGTTGAGCCGCCCAAGTCCAATGACCCCGGGGTGCAATGCCCAACCCACTGTCAATGGTCCAGGATCGAACCCAGGCTTAAAAGGGGCGAAAGACCACTCAAAGAAGTCCCGTAAGGAGTCGCCAAATGACAAAGCGAGTGAGAAAGAAGCCGTCGACTATCCCATCGCCTACCACGAAGACTATAATACCAATGAAGGTGAACCTGTGTGGAAGCGATATTTGAAGGAGAAAGATCGTGAATCTATGAGACTTCCCATCTTTGGTTCGCAATGGATGATCTCCTTGCCACTATTAGGACAAAAAGTTGACACGATCGATTACTGCCGTAAGGAGGTCGCTCGACTCAATGCCGAGATCGAACAAGATCAAAAAAACCCCGAGAAGTTCCCACTTATGAACTCTGCATTCGTACAATTTAACCATCAAGTAGCTGCACACATGGCCTGTCAAGCTGTCAGCCATCATACACCAAGCCAAATGGCTCCAAGAGTTGTGGAAATTTCGCCAGACGATGTCATTTGGGACAACATGTCAATGAGATGGTGGGAGTCCTATGTTCGCCCCGCCGTTGTCCTTGTCACAATTGTCGGACTGGTAATCGGGTGGGCCTTCCCGGTCTCATTCACTGCTATCTTGTCGCAAATCAAGGCGCTCACGGGCACAGTGAAATGGTTGCATTGGCTTGCCCCTGCGCCGAGAGAGGTATTTTCAATCATCCAAGGTGTCTTACCTCAGGTCATCCTGGCACTCCTCTTGGTTCTACTCCCGATCATTTTACGATTTCTTGCTAAGGTTCAGGGCGATTATACTGGCATGGCAGTAGAGTTGAGCGTGCAGAAATTTTACTTTGCGTTTCTATTCGTGCAGGTATTCCTCGTGATTTCAATATCGTCTGGGATCACCTCGATTATATCAGAAATCACACGACACCCTCAAAGCGTACCAGAACTCTTGGCGCAGAACCTGCCCAAAGCTTCGAATTACTTCTTCTCGTACTTGCTGTTGCAAGCATTATCGGTTAGCGCCGGAGATCTCGTCCAAATCGTGGGCTTGATTGAGTGGTTTCTCCTCGCGCCGCTACTCGACAATACCGCCAGGCAGAAATGGCACAGACAAACAAATCTGCCCAACATGCAGTGGGGAACTTTCTTCCCAGTTTACACCAATTTGGCATGCATTGGTGAGTCAATAAGGAGAACGCTATCATACTCGCAATCATTGAATCAGCTGATATTTTTCAGGTTTGGTGTACTCCATTATATCTCCACTGATCATGGTTTTCAACATCATCACCTTCGCTTTGTTTTGGCTAGTCTATAGGTACAACACGCTCTATGTGACAAAGTTCCGCTTCGACACAGGTGGCTTGCTCTATCCCACGGCCATCAATCAGCTCTTCACAGGGTTGTATCTAATGGAGCTTTGTCTAATCGGCCTATTCTTCCTCGTTAGGGATGCAGCACCCGATGGCAAAGCAATTGGCACACCTTGCAAGGTCCAAGGTATCATCATGATTGTTGTTCTTATTCTTACCATTCTCTATCAATGGCTCCTCAACGGTGCATTTGGACCATTGCTGAGGTACTTGCCCATCACTCTGGAAGACGAGGCTGTGATGCGCGACGAGGAATTCGCACGAGCACAAGAAAAGCGTTGGAAGCTGGATGAGAACGAGCAAGAGGGTGACGACATCAACGATGTTCTCAATGATCGCGAACGTCTTTCTGCAGACGATAATAGGGCGCGTGAGAGTATTGAAATGCAGAACATCGAAGCCCCCAACGAGCGTGGTAGACTGGATCCAAGAACTCTGGGGCTGCTAGTACCGGAAGCGGTGGGAAATCTCATTCCTCTCAAGGCATCGTCCTGGGCGGACCGTTCCCGGAAGCAGACGCCCTATTCTCCTGGACAGAACGGACAGGTTGCCTCGCCCCGGCAATATCATCGCCAGCACCATCCTGCGCGTAAGTCACCAGATCTTGAGGCTCAACGCAGTGGAACGAACGCGATCGGAGAAGCTCTGTTCGCGGGGATCAATGATGAAATCGAGGATCTGACGCCGGACGAGCGAGACAAGCTCGTGCAGCGAGCCTTCCAGCATGAGGCGTTAAGAGCCAGAAGGCCTGTGATTTGGATCCCTAGAGACGATCTAGGAGTGAGTGATGATGAAATTTATCGGACGCAGAAGTTGTCGAAGTACATCTGGATTAGCAACAAGTTTACGGGCTTGGACAGCAGTGCGAGGGTCGTATACAGAAAGAGTCCGCCTGACTTCTCAGAGGTGGACTTGATCGAGCTCTGAGATGATGGCTCGGCAGAAGACTGATATGGTTTTATGACGCATTAGGCAGGATGCAGAAGGGAGTGGATTGTATTGCTACGTTCTGAGCGTGATTAGCGAGTGAGTGACATTGTGCAATACCCATTATTGTTTTCTGGAGGCAGTCTTGATCAACAGCAGTCAGTACCTTTAGGTGTACTTTTAGTCCTATATAAGCAAGTAATGTACGAAGTCGGAGAATACGGGTCAGGGGACCACGTGCCAAGCCAAGCTGTAAGCCGGAGAGCTTATGGGGGAATCGGGGATACCCGGATACCTACCGGATACGGCAACCCATACTGACAGGGTGGTCAACCCCGCGATTTTGATTTTTGAAAATCGCCAAACCATATTTCATAGCCACCTCTCAATTCATATATCAATCTATCAAAATATATACGATGGCTCTATAGAGTATAAATATTTATATTTAAAGTTCTAGACGCTAGAACTCTTATACTAAGATCTTAAATAGTACTCTCTTTAAAGAATTATAATATTATCTAGACGATACGCTTAGAAGTATTTTAAGAGTAGAGTTAGAGTTAATACTTTCGCTAACTTTTTATAAATACTATAAAAATATCTAATTAAATCTTTCTTTATTAATAATAAAATAATTTATATTATTTATTTCTAAATTATATTATAGAATACGTATTATAATTTATACTCTTTAGAAATTAATTAATTTCTCTAATATATAGTAATTATAAGAAAGAAGCGAAAACTAAAATTTGAAAAACCGGAAAATGAAAAAATGGAAAATGAATTTTCGATGATATTAGACTCGATCTTAGATCGGAGCCTTAGAGTTATATAATAATGTAGAATTAGAAAGATATATATTCGTCTATAGATCTGGTAGTAAAACTAATTCTTAAGGAAGCAAAGGAAACTCGGGGGGGATCGCTTGCTTAAGCTTATCCACCAAGACTCCGCCAAGACTCCGCCAAGCGTACGTCAAGCGTACGTAGGCCAAGTAATCCAGGGTCCTCTCGCTTAGGACCCACAAGCCCCTTTTCTAACAGGTGGTTGATCTCTCTGTCAGTCTGGGTTACCGTACTAGAACCGGTTAAAATAAATAACGAATTTCGCGTTTCGCACGTAAATCGAGATATTTCATATAGTAATTTCAACTATAACTAAGAATTTCACGTATATAAGATTCTCTATATAAGATATTTTATAAAGATTAATTCTATCTATTTATAATATTATTAAAAACTTATTTAATTATATAATAGATTAAGTAAGAGAGCGTATTAAGTTAAAGTAATTTTTACGCGTTAAATTTAATAATTTTCGCGTTTTTTTCTTCTAGTCTTACTTATTCTTTATATAAATAGCGTAAATCTAGTTAAAATATATAAAGTTCGCGTATAAAATTATATAATATATTAATAGCTATTATATGTAAAAAAATTAGATAGGTATATTACCTAGGTAATCGCATAGCGTAAGCTATAAAACGTCGAGTTTTGATGGAAAACCCGAAATCCGTCACTTGTTTTGACCACTTCGAGTACCGGAGTATTCTGGAGGTAATTACTTTAGCGTCGCTTGAGATGGCTCATAAGCTTTCGGAAGCTCGGGAGAGTGACGACAGCAATGATGAATGATGAATGATGAATTATCTGCAGCTAGTTGATGTGTCCAATGGTCGAGTCTTAAAACTTACACTCCTCCTCACATTTCAATTCCCACACCTTCCAATTGTCTAAAGCTCAACTTCAATATCTAAGGGAAGCGGTAAGCTCCTCGCTCGTCTCATCCTTCCAAAAGCTCCGCCATCTACTATATTCGCGCTGATAATTGTTAATATCCAAGATCTACCAAAACCACCAATCCTCATCAAGATCCAAATCCCAGGAAAAGACATCTCACCCGTCTGGATCATCATGTCTCTCGCACGTCATGTTAGTAGCCTACAATATCTCGCCAAGTCTTCTCTGGTCCTCTGGTCTAATTAGTCTCAGGTCGATCCGGATCAGATCATCCAAGCTCTGGTAAGAAAGCATTCACATCTTTCTATTCGTCTTCATTTGCACAACCGAAACTAAGTCTACCTCATCAGCACGACCATCCCAGTAAAGCTCCCAATCAGACTCCGCTTCATTGACTTACTAGGGTGAGTTGTTGCTCCGATTCTGACCAGCAATTAGGCCAAGCACACAAGCACCATGTCCACACAAAGAGCGCTGTTTCCACCATGACACCGTACTCTTCCCGCTATGCCAGTCAGCAGGAGATCTCCAAATTCAAGATCCCCAAGGAGGGAGCTCCTGCAGATGCTGTCTTTCAGATGCTGAAAGACGAGTTGGACTTGGATGGTAGGCCGAATTTGAACTTGGCCAGCTTCGTTGGCACCTATATGGAGCGTGAAGCAGAAGCCCTAATGGTGGAGAATTTGTCCAAAAACATGAGTGATGCCGATGAGTATCCCGCCATGATGGTACCTAAATTTCAGAGTTATTCTTCCCTGTTTTGTACCAAACCTTGAGAGTCGCAAGACATAGTCTTGTAGCGAACCCCTGCTCCTACTCCTGAGACCGATATCATTAACCCAGCTTTCGTGTCTTGATTAAGCAACGCTGACTCCGAAATGTGCGTAGGCCATGCACGCCCGTTGTGTACGTCTTCTTGAAGTTTGATACTTCCTTATCACCCCACAATACAAGCCCCGAGACACGTTTGGGGAGTGGCTAGTCTGTGGACATGTTTCATGGCTGGCAACCCTCTCCTCACGGCAATACTGATTCCGAAACTTCTAATTAGGTTTCAATTATTTCCCATCTCTGGGGTGTGCAAAAAGGCGAAACCGCCATTGGTTCTGCCACGACCGGTTCTTCCGAGGCAATTCATCTTGGCGGTCTTGCCATGAAGAGAAGATGGCAGGAAAAGCGTGATGCAGAGGGCAAGGACAAAACGAAGCCAAACATCATCATGGGCTCCAATGCTCAAGTAGCTTTGGAGAAGTTTGCTCGTTACTTTGAGGTCGAAGCTAGAATTCTGGATGTCAGCGAGAAGAGCAAGTACAGACTCGACCCTGAGCTTGTGAAGAAGAACATTGATGAAAACACTATCGGGGTGTTTGTGATCATGGGTAGCACGTACACCGGTCACTACGAACCAGTGGAAGAGATCTCGAAGATCTTGGATGAGTACGAGGAAAAGACTGGGAATGATATCCCTATTCATGTCGATGCTGCCAGTGGAGGTTTCATAGCTCCGTTCACACATGCTCATGCTGGTGGACCAAAGTGGTAAGTCATTCTCCCAGCAGGCTATCACGTTCTTGAGTGCTTGCGCTCTTCTTTGACGCACATCGACTGGCTCCTATTTCCAAAGTGTGGTTGGGAATAACCCATACCAACGACGAACAGGAACTTTGCGCTCCCTCGTGTCAAGTCAATCAACACTTCTGGTCATAAATTTGGTCTCGTATATGCAGGTGGGTAGACCTGGCTTACAAGCCCATTCGAATAGCTCTGACTTAGGCTACTGCCCACATGCTGACGGGTCCCCAGGTGTTGGCTGGATCATCTGGCGAGACGAGTCGTATCTTCCCAGGCACTTAATCTTCGAGCTGCACTATCTTGGCGGCACAGAAGAGTCATATACCCTCAACTTCTCTCGCCCAGGTGCTCAAATCATCGCTCAGTACTATAATCTTATTCACCTTGGCTTCGACGGGTTCAGAGCCATCATGGAGAACTGCCTTTCCAATGCCCGTCTCCTGAGCAAGTCCCTTGAAGCTACTGGCTGGTGTACGTATTTAGATGTCCATGTTTCCTCTTTTGGACCAAATCGCTGAGTCTTGCGATATGTCATGAGAGTACTTCTCTTTAGACAAGCTCCAAGGCTCAATGTACCCTCTTAAAATAGGCCAAACTGACATCGAAACCATAATCCAGATACCTGCGTTTCCGACATCCATCGTAAGAATAAGGATGGTTTCAACGAAGAGAACGAGACCAGCGCGGATTACATTGCGGGCCTCCCGGTTGTTGCTTTCCGCTTGTCCGATGCCTTCAAAAAGGACTATAGCCACGTCAAGCAAGAGAGCATTAGCACTCTCCTGCGTGTCAAGCAGTACATCATTCCCAATTATCCACTTCCGCCCAAGGAGGAAAAAACGGAGATTTTGCGTGTTGTTGTCCGCGAGAGCATGTCACTGGACCTTCTCGACCGGCTGATTACCGATATTATCGCCGTCACCGAGCAATTGATGAACGCTGATCCCATGGATTTGTCGGCCTTCCAGCCCGGTGCAACGACCATTGAAAAACAGCATCAAAGCAAAGGTGTCGACCACGTTAACAAGCACAAGGCGCACAGACCAATGAGCAAGGGCGTTCACCGTACTGTCTGCTAAACGAAGCGGCCGGGATTACAAGAGCGGGGTAAGATGAGGCAACGGGTAAAGCAGCACGACGAATGGAAAAAGTACCTGTTTGGAGCTGTACATACAAAAAAGCCCGGGGAAGCAGAATAAAGCATATCAATAATAAAAGTGAAGAGAACCCGGATTTCGACAAATGTGCAAAGATGAGTCCTTTCCAAGCAAGAGTAGTTCGCACGTCGTTTAAAGTATCTGGTATGGCGAGCGACGACGGCAATCCCTGGACTGTTTGAAGCTGATGTGCAGCAGAGATGGTTGAGTGAGAGTCTTTGGTGTGCCATCTCGTGCGGTCTGGACAACCTCGATCTCGACCTCGATTCGTAGCATCCGTATCCCCGAAGGTGTCGTTTTCGCTACTCGCATCCTGTCAAGTCTTGTCTGCTACCCTTGGCAACATCTTCGGCAGGGGCGATGGCGAGCATTGTTCCTCTTTGATCCTATCTTGCGATTTGAAGCACATGCATGTAGGCTTGTCAGGACGTCCTTGGGTTTCGAAGATACATTGGCTCTAGAACTCGGTATGTTGCCCAGAAAGGAAAAAGAAGAAAGTGCCGGTGTCATAAGAGAAGTTCGGAGATTTAGACGTACTAGTACATCCCACCCCGCGGGCTTTCGGACAATGGCAACAATACAAGAAAACGAATAAGGCCTCGGGTATAGCAACGATCACCAAAAAAGATCGGCAAATTCAGTCATACATTCTGACACTTTGCCCACTTCATTCCAACCTGACCCATTCACCAATCCCAAAACGCTCCCTATTCCAGACCACAAGATCCATCCCTATTGCGAACCGTGTGTTTGCCTTTTGTGCTAAATCATCATAGACGATCGTACGCTTAATGCTGCTGTTTCTCATATTTGACAGCATGCCTATCACCTCCGACCCCGGTATGCTGCTCTCCACTGTCCTGGCTGCTGCTCTCGCCCGGCTCCCTGCCCATTATCATATCTTTCTGTTCCGTAATACCGTGTCTTTCATGTTGCGGTAGATCGACCTCACCCTTTCGCGGCTCTGTACTCGCTGGTGTCCACGCCAGGTAGTCTCGCCTGACCTCGACGTAGTCGTAAGCGAATTCACCAAGCTGGTCATCGTCCATGCCCAAGAGCTCAGCTTCTTCCGATGCTCGCAGGTGGAGCCCTGGGATGTAATTGATGCCATAAGCTAGGATGAGACTCATGGTGAAGGCCCACCCGATTACGGCGAGGATATAGGCGAGTTGAACGTAGAATTGGCGGTAGTTGTGATTGATCCAGCCGCCGGTGATGATGCCAGTGTTGACACCGTCAAGTCCGATGATGTAGGTTGCGCTGAAAAGCGCATTGGCCATCAGACCGAGCATTCCCGCAACAGCGTGCTCAGCGAAGATATCCAATGCGTCGTCAATGCGTAAGTAGTATTTCACTGTGACATGTTAGACGGACAAAGACGAGGTTGCGGAAGGCGTACCCTTAGTAGCATAATTGCAGACCACTCCCGATACGACGCCCAACACGATCGACCCCCAGGGGGTGCAGTATCCAGATGCAGGCGTGGCGGCGACCAGGCCAGAAATAGCGCCTGAGCACCAACCCACCATGGACCATTTTCGTGCCAATCTGAAATCAAGAAGCACCCATGATGCCGAAGCAAACATGGCCGTCAGATTGGTATTCCAGCAAGCTTGCACCGCTCTCAGATTCGCCCCAAACGCAGACCCTCCGTTGAACCCCAACCAACCAAACCAAAGGAAGACCGTGCCCAAGACGATCAGGGAGACATTGTGTGGACGGAAGTTTGCCATCATCTTCTCCTGGCGTTTCCCTAGTACGAGAGAGTATGCCAGAGCGGACATGCCAGAGCCTATTTCGACGGGCCCGCCGCCGGCGTAATCCTTGACACCGTATTTGAACGCCCAGCCGTTGATATTCCAAGCCCAACAAGCAATTGGACAGTAGACCAGTGTGGCCCAACAGAACATGAAAACCAGCAAGGGGAGCACACGACCTCGCTCAGCGACGGCGCCTGATGTAATGGCGGCTGTAGTGGCGCAGAACTGCAACTGTAGGGAGAGATCAGCATCTAGTGAAGGGTTGAAAGAGCGAATGCTCTGAGTACCTGATAGAAGCTATACAGCAACTCGGGGATCAATGGCGACCCAGGACTCGGAGCACCGAGCGTGTTGGTCAAGCCGAAATGCTTCAGATCTCCGATAAAGCCGCTTGTTCCTTGTGCCGAAAATGCCAGCGAATAACCCCAAAAGTACCATTGGAAAGTGATGACAGAGAAGGAGGCCATGGTGACCCAAAGCATGGTCAGAGCGGATTTCCTCCTTGCTAGCCCCGAATAGAGAAAACCTAGGCCGGGTATCATGACCAACACCATGGCCGAAGCGACAATAATGTACGCTTGGTCGCCAGGGGCATACCATTGATTGAGATTCTCCACGGCTAGAGTATTTGTTAGCTAGCTCCGTTATCCAGTAATCGTAGCAGCTCGGGGAAGAAAGGGTTGTGGCAAGTAAGTTATGAAGATGGAAGAAAGTAGACTCACAAGAGTCACCACCCGAGAGGGGGTTGGTGCCATTGAAAGCGGTGGGTGCTCCAATCCATGAATAGGAAGGGGCATAGCCTGTGGGAGCAGGATAGCTGGTCATGTTGACGGTTAAGAGGCACTGCCAAATCTCCCGTTGCTTTTTCCGAACCCGATGATCTTAATCGGGTGACAGGTCACGTGTGCAGCAAGCTCGAGCGGAGGAGGGTGATGGGGAGGGATTTTGGAAGAGCTGATGGCGACACAGCTTTCTTGGCGTGAGATGTAAGAGGGAGAGAGGAATTGGGAGATGGAATGGGGATTTATGTCTTTTGAGGCTCTTGTCACGGATTTAGTTATCTGGAGGGGCTTATCAGGCAAGACAAGAAATAAGCAGCATGGCATTTCCAGGATGTGGATATGGGAAGCAAAGCCGGTAGTACCGTGTTGGAGTTTCTTTTGATGATATGCTGCTATACCTTACCCTAATGCTTGTATCGAGCGCCATTCCGCCGCAATTAGATCTATCATCTGCGGGCCATCCAATTGTATGATTGATAGATGATAGATGATTGATGTTAGTTGATATTTTCCCGTTGCTGGCGTGTGAAGGCGGGGGAGATATCTTCCGCGTACTCTACTTTATTTTGCGGGGAATAGAATAGCAATACAGCATTAAAATAATTTAAGTAATTCAGTTCATTGTCAGAGAAAGGATGAAGTCATGATTGGTTAGAGGGCGATAGATTGTGTGCATTTAGATAATTCTAGTAATTTTTAATTCCGTACTTGGCCAAAGCCATGACGCAGCTGACTCGGCGCTATCGTGGGATGTCTTGGCGTCTTCAGGTCTGCTGAGTGTGTGATTGGATAGAGTGGTCCTTATCTTTACTCCTCGAAAATGCCAAGCCTCTAGTCGAAGTGATAAACGTAGCCAGTCCCCAATTCCCAGTCCCCAATTTCCAGATCGCCGCCATTCCCATTGCGGCGTGAAGTACTACCTTACTTTACTGTCATACTCGTAATTCCTTTACTGTAGATCCGAGCATCATTATTGTTCTACAGAGCAAGCACCATTGCAGCTCCTCATTCACAATTCATCCCTTGACTGGGTCAAATAAAGCATCGAGGATTAACTACCCTTCTCAAAAAAAAAATTGGGTCTCGTGCTACCTACTCGGATGGGAGTGCTTTCCGCAACTCAGTACTAGTACACAAGTCTATCCAGATGGTGCATTGCTAAATAAGTCTTCTACCAACGCTCTCCGCTTTCACCGTCTCCCCTCTGTCCCACATCATATCTGCTTCATCCATCTCATCTTCCATCCCTTCATCCCAAATCTCGTCCTCTATTGGCAAAGCAGGCGGCGACAACGCAACTCCAATGCCGCCAGCCGTCCAGTTCCATGCACTTCGCATCGGTGAAACTGGCGAATCATCATCGGCCACAGATGCTGGAGGACCCTGGTCTTGCTCGAGCCCGAAGTCGAAAGGCACTTCAACTGCATCTGGCCGGGCGCAAGGAGAGATTGGCGGACTTTCGGTGGCTTCTGGTGTTATCCAATCCGTCATGTCAACATCATCTTCCCATACGTGAACGACCCGACCTGACATCTGCCGACTGTTTGGGATTGAAAGCTTTATCTTTGCTTTGTCCACGTGCCCATGAATCTCCTTGACGCTATTTTTGGAGCTCGAGAAGTCCATGACTGGGAAGTGGAGGCCGAGGCCATTCATTCTTGGCCTTGGATCAAGAGACGATGATGCTTTCTGGTCCTCTTCTGCTATTGGTGATAAAAGTGCCTTGGCTACTTTCGTTGTACGTTTTTCTGCTGCTCTCCTAATTTTGCCGATATAACTTCCAGTGCTTTCTTGGACTGTTAGTTTGCCCTCGACTGACGACGTGTCGGGCTCCGTGTCGAGACAGCTAGGATCAAGAAATCCAAACCCGGTCTCCTGAACAGGATGCTGTTCTTTCCAATGACATGAACTAGGAAAGTCGCATTCGTCTTCGCAGTGTTTCCTGCCAGCCTTTTCACCTTTTCTACTTGTCGCTCTTTTCCATCTAGCAAAATCTTCCCAGCCACTGTAGTCAAATTCACTAACACAAGCTCTGTGCTTCTTCACCTTGCCACTGATTTTGTCGACGGTAGTGCCGCCGCAAAAGTAGTGGCCGTCATGAAGGCATCTTCTTGTGGCACCCAAATGGTACCGAGTGTGGCATTTGTGGCAGGACCAGATCCAAGGCATTGGCATCGAAGGGGGCTCAATTGCAATCTGTTTGCTCAAGTTGAAGGCATTTGGGGGCTGTGTCCGGGGGCTTGGGAGGTTTGGGAAGTGTAGAGGGGTGCGAGGCGATGTAGGACTGGCAGGAGAAGTTGGACCTGAAAGTCTGCGAAGGCTGGAGGGCTCGAAGGGTGGAAAAGAGGGTCTGAATCTGCCCATTTGCAAGACGTCTTGAAAACACGAAGCGAACCGATCAGTGGTGGAAGTGGAAAAGATGTCAAGAAGATGAGAAGAAGAAAGCTCCGAAGATTGGGTAGAAGAAGACCGGCTTCTTGCTGTCTGCTATGATGTAGAGTTGAGCAAAACTCTATGCGTACTGCAACAGAAAGTGGTCAAAGCAGAGTTGGTGGAAGAGGGACGAATCGAGGGGGAAAGGGGATGAAAGAAAAGAAAAACGTGATGCACGTGGCCGTCTTCCATTGTCCTTTGTTGCCGGAGGAGCCTCTATTCTTGGGGATGACAGCAGTTCGAGGTCAAGACGCTGCTGTTTCTTTGTTTCAACGGAGCTGCCGACATTCCATCCTGCCTTTGTTTCTTAGTACGTCCCAAAATAGTCTCCCGAGTCAACTTTAAGGCATCAATAGAACAGAGAGCGTCATGCTCTGAATCGTATGTTTGGGATTCATGTAAGGCGACAGTAGTCGTGGGAAGGAGATATTCAGCGGTAGTGACGGATGAAACTGAGAAGGGCCGTCTAGTCTGCGACAAGTCATAGGATTGCCTCAACACCTTTTGCGGAGCTTCCATAACTTTCGACATCATCGTAAAGTACCATGAACATAGGCAAGAAATCGACCTGCCCAAATTGCCGTAAGCTTTCCGGTTGCATCGCGCGTCCACGGAACCGTCTCCCCACATTCACATTTCCCCCCGCCGATCTCGTTGCGCTTCTGACCATCGTTCCCAGAAGGGGCGACATGGTTCGGCGGCGACACGGCGGACGTTCCCGATATCCTCGAGCTGTATCCGCAAAAGGAGTGGTGCACCTGTGATCCCAAGATAGAGGTGGGAGGGAAAGAGTATCCGCCCCAAGGCGAGAAAGCTGATCCTTGGGGAAAGCGGTGAGCCTATCATACTTTCAATGTCCTTGTTTGGAGGTTGAGATGCGAAGGGTCGGTAAGATCTAACAGGGTGGTGCTGTTCACGCAGGAAACGCGAGCTACTGCGGCTCACGAGAGACAAAAGAGTGAGATGGGCAAGAAGCTTTGGACCGATGGGGCCAGGGGGTGTAGGCTTGGGCCCTGGGCTCTGATCTAGCCAGGTGTTCATCTGTGCTTCCTGGGCTGCATTTGGAAGTGGCCTTGGGCGACTACCGAGGGAAAGATGGGCATCAGGTCTAGCTCATTACAGGAGGACAAAGGTTTCAACATCTCTTCGATTTGCTTCATGTTCAATTATATAGCCATGCATACAGACAAAGAACCCCCAATACACCCTGCTCGCTAATCCAAGATTGTGCCTCCTCCCAGCAACTCCCCAGGTATGCAGTCGTTAATTCGTTTCAGTGAAAGGCTGTTGATATGCCACGCCTAATTGCCTACTATATCATTCCTCCCTCCATTCGTACGTCGCTCCCCGCGAAACTCGCCTCGCTCCTCCCTCCCTGCGCACTCATAACCCTCACCGTCTTCTTCCCCTTTGATCCCTCCGCAGTCAGTACTTGTGCCGGGCAGACCACAATCTGCTCGTCATCATCCTCGTTCTTGACCACCAGTGGGAAAAGAACCATTCTTACGACTGCGTGTTGCTCCTGCAGAGCCTCGTTTGAGGACGTGGCACCGCTGCGCTCATTCATGGTAAGGGCGCTGAAGTACACTTTTCGAGCTAGGTCACCGTTGGTATCGTACTCGGGCTGCAGAGGAGGCAGCATCGAGTACTCTGCACGCTGGGTACGCATCTCAATTGACAGATCAGCTGCCGTATCTATGACTTTGCGGAGTGAATCCTGTATTTGGCCCACAAGATGAGATGGTGGTGGAAGGAAAGTAGCTAGGGTGTCGTAGATCTCATGGACAACCGCTTCGGTATCTGTGGCACGCTGGTTCTCAAACGCTTCTCGCTTCATTAAAAGTGTCAGAGTCGTTGCCCGCCACTTGTGCACAGCACTTATAGGACCAACTTCCTGGAGCGTCTTTTCAAGATTCTTGAGCTTCTGACGCTGCTCACGGTCCATGCCAAAGAGGTAGCGGGTGAAGATGAACTCCCATACCATTGTCATGACCACCGACATGAAGACATCGCGCCTCTTTACTCGATCGGAGAGGTAGTCATCAACGTCGGAGCCATCCAGTATTGCATTTTCCATGCGATCGACAACTTTCTCGTCCCGAACTTCACTGGCGAGGTAGCACGCTTTCATGTCCGAAAATTTAGAGAACCTCAGCACCCATTGCTGGACATGCTGGCAAAGTGATTGACACTGAGAATCGAAGTAATCCTCATCTCGTTCGACGAAATCATCACTATTCCTGGACGCTAATAGTTGCTGTTGCAAATTTCGAACTTGCTGTTTGGCGTTCTCAAGTTCACTTTGCAATTGGCGCAACTCAGAATTTTTCTCTTCGAGGGCCACAGTCACCTCATGGCGAACGATGTCCTCCATACCAGTCGATAGTTGAGTATGCTGCTCTTTGAGGTCCCCTAGTTCCTTCGTGGATTGTTGCCATTGCTCGTGGGTGTGTGCGTGCTCAGCGCGTAATTGATTATACCTCTGTTCGTGCTCCTCATCCACACCGCGGGAAGAGGCAAGTCCCTCGTTGACTTCGGTGAGATGAGCTGCTTGGTTATGTAGCTGTTCGATGATCTGCTTTAATTCGCTGAGTTCGGAATCTTTTCGTGTCAGATAAATCTTCTGCTCTTGCATGGCTTCTTCGTAGGCATGCCGTTCCTGGCTGTGATCACGTGCTTGCTCTTGCAAGGCTTTCTCCACTGTTAACTTCTGACTCGCCAGTAGTCGGTTTTCCGAGACTATTTGATCAAGTCTGGTCTCGAGATCCAAGAGCTGCATGCTTTGCCGTTTGCGCATACTTGGTGGACGCGTCGGAGACATTGGCGATTGACCGCGCACATCACCCCAACCCTCCTGCAAAAGCGTGTTAATTCTGGGCACTATCACTACCACTTTAACATAAAATGTGTTGCCAACTTACATAGACATCAGCCATATCGGCACGAGATTTGCCTTTATCAGTGACGGGGTCGTAGGTTGAAGAAGATGGAATGCCAATGTCGAGTTCAGAGCTGCTTTTAGCGCGATATTTAGCTTCGCTTTTTTTGCTGGCACCCCGCAGATCCCCGCTAGCGCTACGGTCGACCCGTCGCAAGGGTGGTGTGCCAGAAGAACGGCAACTCAGTCCACTGGCTGATCGGACTTGATCCGGTGTCCGGATGATTGCATAAATGCTGCTCTCTGATCGCATGCTCGCTGCACTCGCTGTTCGATACTCATCTTCCCTGTGCCTCGGCGTAACACCTGGCAGCGCGCTATGGTGACTCGACAAAGTGGACAACTGATCTGAGTTGCGGCTTCTGCTGCGCTCGTCTACTGCACGCTTCTCCTCGTCAGCTGCGGGCCAAGGCGGGCGTGAAATCGGGTCATGGGTGGATACATATTCTCCAGCGACATCGTCTTCGACAGATGGTGATCGCATTCTTCGACCTTTGACACCTGATTCGGGAGATCCAACGTCGGACACAGCGCGCTTGTCTTTCTTATGCAGCGGTGATCCGTCTGCGCTATCCTCCGAAATGGTATTCAGTCTTCGGCGACCCCGGCTTTCGCTTGAACGTGGACTTCTGGAAAGAGATGGCAAGTCATTTTCATAACTTTGGGGGCCTCCAAACAATGACATTCCTGTGTCTTCATTGCCTGTAGATATGTCGTGGTCTGTTGATTCGGGAGCAAACGCAGGAATGTTGCCTGATCTACCTCCCCTCGACACCTCGGATGAGCGCTGTGGTGGCGATTCCTCGCGGTCAAATGACCAAGTAGGCTCTTCTCCGACGGGATTATAACGAGGCGAGACAGCCTGATCCTGTGGTTTGGCGATTGTCTCCTCCCTTGCCGAAGGCGAGGTATCGAAAAGTGCCGACGATCTGTCCTTAGTGGTAGAGCTCACTGGAGAAGGTTCTCGTGGCTCTGCTACCATGGCTTGCCGACGGCGACGGCGCTGGATGTCAAAGCCAGAGTCCGCAGAGTCATCACTGTCGTAGGCAGTCCCTGATCTCCGCCTCGAACGTTTCCGTCTCTCTTTTGGCCTTGATACCGAGACATCATGGTCCGAATTAGCCTCTACAGATTTCTCGGATGGATTACTGGACGTTGATCTTTGACGTTGGTCAGTCTCATGAGCCCGGCTATGCCGATGCTGCACATGCTCGACCATTTCACCAGCGGCAACACCGCTTTCCAACTCCGTTGGGTCGTCTGGATTCTCGAGCTCATCACCAACAATCGGGCTTGCCTCAGTATCTGGATAACCACTGTCTCGTACGGCACGGTGGTAAGGTATCTCTTCCGAGATCATTGGAGAACCAGAGATGTAGATGGCGCTGTCTCGGTACTTAGGCGTTTCTGAAGACTGGCCAAGATCTCCCACAAACGGATGACTTGCAGCCGCCTCATAATTTCTAGATGACGTAGCTTGGTGATGCTCCCACGCTCTTGTGGCGCGTTCTGACTCAGATGTCTGGCGATGCTCTTGTTCCTCGACATCCATTCCTCCTCTGTCGAGAGGATTTTCTGGTTCGCCTATTTCAGCCTCAAAGTCTGTCCCCCTGCGAGCCTCTTTTGCTTTCTCGCCAGGTATCCCTTCCTTCCTCGAGTCTCTCTTGGAGAGGCTTCCCGCTGCTAACGCACCTACGCCTAAACCGACTGCTGCGGCGACCAATTCCCTGCTTCCTGACCTGCCACGACTGATGGGTCTCCCCTCAGCTACCGAGGATAGCTCGTCCTCGTGTGAAGAAGATTGTAGGAAATGCTGCTGAGAAGTCGATCTCTCATTCAAAGTGTCCATGGTTGGGGTTTCCAAGTCTTGGGGTTGGTCCATGAGACTTTCCTGCCCTAGAGTCTGAGGGCTTGGCTCCCTCGCCGAGGCTTTCTTGCCTTTCTTAGTACTTTTTAGGGGAGCAGGATCACAATTGTCTTTGACTTGTTCTTCAGCTGGCTCTACCTCTGTTCTTAATTTGTCATGGAAGTCCGTAGCGAGAGACCTAAGCTTTCCATCTCGATCATAAGCTGTGACGGCGTCATCTCTCAGGTGACCATCTTGATCTATTTGCGGTTCTCGAGCTGGAGATCGATCTCTGCTAGAACACGGCGGCCCAGTAGAGAGAGCCCGACGGAACTCGTGAGTGTCTTCCCTTCCCACATCTTCCTCTGCTGGTCTGCTTGGCGGGATATTAAAGTAGTCATCTGACCCATCATTCTCAATTAAGTAATTGTTGTCAGCGGTATCGAGATATCCGGTAGGCGAAGCTATTGTCCTGTCTTCGAGAGACCGCTGGTCTATCGGTTCTTCCAATTCAAGGGGCCGAGCAGCGTCAGTGTCCCGCGAGCCCGGAGCTTCTGTGGATCTGATAGAGGGCTTTGCTCTTTGATCGCTTTCCGGCTCCGGTGGCGGCGTTGCAGTTTCGTCTTCCCAAATGATCGGCTGCTGCTTTTTGCTTTTCTTGCCTTTCTTGCCTTTCTTGCCTTTCTTGGTTGATTTGACAGGTGAATAGTCATCCTCCTGATCGACGGGACTACCATGAACCGAGGCAGATCTTGATCTGGATTCTTCAATGATGTCTTCCAGAGCCGGAGGTCGTGCTAACGGTCTGTGCTCTTCTTCGTATGGTCTCTCCATTACCGAACCAATGCTTGATTGAGAGAACACAGGTGTATGGGCTTCATCACGCGAGGGATCGGCACGCTCGCCTTCCTGCAACGGACTCAATTGTCGCTCAAGCTCTTTTGCATACTCCTCGTTGTAGTCGCGTTGTTCTTGTGCGTCTAACATTTCGACCTCCACTGCGGGGATTGGCTTATCTATGTCAGGACCCCCAAGCGGCTCGAGATCTGCGACAGGTTCTGTGTTCGGTAATGCCCGCTCAAGCTCTTTTGCATACTCCTCGTTGTAGTCGCGTTGTTCTTGTGCATCTAACATTGCGACCTCCACTGCGGGAATTGGCTTATCTATGTCAGGACCCCCAAGCGGCTCGAGACCTGCGACAGGTTCTGTGTTCGGTAATGCCCGTTCAAGCTCTTTCTCATACTCCTCGTTGTTGTCGTCGCGTTGCTCTTGTGCGTCTAATCTTTTAACGCCCCCTGGGGGGTTCGGCTGGTCTATGTTAGTACCCCTAAGCGGCTCGAGATCTGTGATAGATTCCGTGTTTCGGACTGTTTTGGCCGTTTCTCGAGCAGCCTCCTGAGCCGCAGAGGAAGACAAATTCCCAACTATAAGCTCACCCCATTGCCCGTCTTTGTCTTGTTTTTCGGGTTCCTCGGCCCTCTGGACTGACACGTCCCAGAGTAACTCCTCGTCCTTTGCCTCTTCAATCATTCCGGACTCCGTCAGAATGGGAGTTTGGTCCCTTTTCATTCCTCCCGCAGATTCTTCTTGTTTAGATCGTATCTCCCCTGCAGTACTCAAGTCGTCTCTAGGCTGCTGCTTCGACGGGTGTTCATTACCTTGAACAGCGCTAGTAGCCGTTACCCATGCAAGTTCTTTGTCATCCGCAGCAGACCGATCTTCCTCCGGCTCGTAGATAGAGAGCTTTTCAGTCTTGGTCCTTTCGCCGTTTGCAAAGCTTTCTTCCTGTTCAGCTTCAACCATTGTATGAATGTCATCTCTCGCTTGAGATGGCGGGTCTTCCAATACACTTCCTTGATATCTCTGATCTTCTTCTGACCTCATACCCGGCTGGACGATCTCCGTAGGCACGATCTCCTCGGCGGATATTTCTGGTTTCGACCAAGAACCGCTTTCTTGTGAGACAGGGATGATCGACGGTTCGCCCAGATCTTCTGTAGCGCTAGATTCAGTGAGAACAGCTCTGGGCTCCTGAGAGAGCCCGTCCTCCTCCCAAGTCAACGGTAGTGCCTTCTTTGTCCTCTTTTCGTTTTTCTTGCTTAGCTTGACGCTATACAGAGAGTCATTATCGGTCTCGGCTGCCGAGACGATGTTGCTTTTCATTTCGTTGGCACGGTAAGCGGTTATCTCCTCCGACGCAACGGTCGGCTGCTCTGGAGATGACTCCACTGATGAAGTGGCTTTGTGAGGAATATCAGAGGCAGCGGCATGTGCTGAGACAGAGTCGAAGTACCCGTGCATAGGTTCCTCGCCTCTGCCTCCCACCATGACGAGATCTCCCCAAGCATTTAGCGGGTTGACTTTGCTGTCAATTTCGGAATCTTTGTTGAGCTCCTGGGCAGTCTCCTGCTCAGACTGCGCAGTGATATCCTCGTTCTTCCATTCGAACGGTTGCGCTTCCTCGGTCTCTTCTCGATCTTTCGTCTCCTCAGGAAGACCTTCCACACATTTTCCAGGCTCCTTGACCGTGTCGGCACTGGAAGGGGGTGTCTGTTTAAGCGATTCTTTCTCAAGATTCTCAGGTTTGGATACTGGCTCATCTTCAAGTGTGGGAGAAACATCGCTATCTAGAGAAAAGGCGACGAAGTTCTTGGACTTCTTTTCGTCCTTCTCATTTGTGGGTAGCGTGTAATCTTCCTCCTGCTGTTCTAATTGTGTCTTTTGAACAGTCTTTTCAGGCTCATCAACAACCTTGACACTGGAAGGAGTCATATGTTCTATTTCGTCTGTCTCAAGAGCCTTGATTTCGGCTATTTGCCCGTGTCCAAGCGCAGGATCTTCACAATCATCTGGGGATAAGGCATTGGACTTCTTAGAGTTCTTGGTTTTCTCTCTGTCCTTCTTGCCTTTTGGTGGCATCAAGTCTTGCTCCTGTTCCAACGGTGCCTCGCGTGATTCCTCATTTTCGTTACCCTGAGCAGATTTTGTTGTTACTGCTGGCTCTACTACCTCTCCAGGTGCACCAATTTCTGCCCTCATGCGTGGCATGCCAACCGCAGGAAGATCCTCCATCTTGTCGTCGTCTTGTAGGGCTTCAGTAGGGACACAATTGGGCTCATTTGCTTCTCGAACATCACGGGTGACTAATTGGCGATCAACGGCGGAACGCTCCTCTACCTGTCCGTCATCTTGTAAAACTTCAGTAGGGACGACACTGGGCTCAACTTCGTCTCGAGAATCGCGGGTAATCTCGCGAAGATCCTCCACTTTGTTGTCGTCCTGTGGAACCTCAGTAAGGATGATACTAGGCTCAATCTCTTCCTGGAAATCACTGGCACTTGGGGGAAGATCCTCCGTCTTGTCATCATCTTGTGGAACTTCAATAGGGATGATGTTGGGCTCATCTCCGTCTCGAAAATCACTGACGGCTCTCGAAACACCGTTTCTTCTGCTCCTCTTGTTCTTCTTGTCTTTCTTGGACTGTTTAGAGAAAACCTCGTCGATCGCCTTGACCGCGGGCTCTTGTTCCAATGAATAGGGATTCATTGCAGCGGGTAGATCGGAGGGCTCCGCTGGCTTCATGATATCAGGCTCGTCCAGAGAGTATTCTTCGTTCTTCCTTCCTCTTTTGCCCTTTTTCTTCTTCTTCAGGGTATCACGATCCAGTTCGTCTACTTCTATTACCCTGTCAGCCGCAGACTCTTGTTCGAGCGGAGTGTTCATTGCACCGGGTGGACCCGGATCCCCTGCCGGCTCTGTCGTTTCAGGCTTGGTTTCGGGCTCGTCCCACGAGAACGCTTCGTTCTTCTTCCCTTTTTTGCCCTTTCTCCTCTTCTTCGGAGCATCACGATCCAGCTCATTTTCTTCCATTGGCCTGTCAGGCGCAGGCTCTTGTTCGAGCGGAGTGTTCGTTGCACCGGGTGGATCTGAGACCTCTGCCGGCTCTGTCGTTTCAGGCTTGATTTCGGGCTCGTCCCATGAGAACGTTTCGTTCTTCTTACCCTTTTTGCTTTTCTTCTTCTTTTTTGGCGCATCCCCAACCAGTTCATCTTCTTTTATTGGCCTATCAGTAGCTTTCTCTTCCATGCTCGTAGATGCCACCATGGCTTCCCTCTTAGCATCAGTAGTAGACTCCGCATTGTTCTCCCCCACCAAGATGTCCTGTACACGTTGAGCAGCATTTGTGCCAGCGACTGGCGTGTGCAGATTCAGGAATATTTCATCATCCTGCGCCTTTTCAGGAGCGTCTTTAGAGTGCGGAGTCTCTGGCTCGTATGAGACGGGCATTTTCTGTTCATAGCTGCCTGAAATATGATCTTCTGAAGGCTTCCGTAGATTATGCTCTGCTTGAGACTCAATTGGGAAGGCTTCCTTCGACTCGCCTTCGATGGAGGCTTCAGTTTCATCGAGTCCTAGCATAGCACCGACTTCTTGGGAGGTCCGCGTTGTGGCCAAGGACAAAGCGCGATCGTTCATGTCATCTCTGGCGTCTGGTTGTCGCTCGAATTGATGCTCTGTTTCGTCCGGTGAAAGCCCCAAACTTGATGTCTTCGACCTCTGCCTCTCAACCTTCTTGCCTTTCCTATTGTCGTTGGAGGCCGTCCATTCGTCCTCTAGGGGCTCAGTCTTGGACTGGGAGACATCGACTGCAGACTCGTCAATCAATTTCCTGGCTTCATGGTCCTCAGGCGCTTCAGACGCAGCCATGTAAGGTAGCGATTGCTGTCGTCTTTGAATTTCGGTGGCCTTGCTGTTCTCAACCGAAATGCTTTGCTTGGTCACCTTTCCTTTCTTGCCCTTCTTCTTGCTAGTGGAGCCCTCCCATCCATCATCCAACGTTTCGGACTTCTCCTGGAGAACCTTCATTGCAGGTTCGTCGTTCGAATCTTTTGGCCAATCTTCTTCGAGCGTTGTAGAAGTATTAACACTAGGTAATGGTCCATCCATTTTTTGTATCTCAGTCTGCTCATTTTCTTCAACCGAACAGCTCTGCTTAGCCTTTTTGCTCTTTTTGGATTTTTTCTTAGACGGAACGGCGGAATAGTCACCTGGATCAACTTGCTCGGCTTGAGACGTAAGATCTTGTGCTTGTTTTTGTAGTTCAGGTAGGACGGCAGATAGATCATGTATATGTGGGACGTCTAAAGGGTTTCCAGCAGCAATTTCCATTTCCTTATCATCAGAACGATCCAAAGATGTAGAGACTGGAATTTCTAGCCGCTCGTCCAAGAGGTCATGATCATCATCAACATTGGGTAATGGTGTTGCTCTTGGAGAAAGCTCAAGCAGTGGCGATATCGCTTTTGTCGAGTCACCAGGATCGAGTTCTTCTTGAGACGCGGGATTGGCTTTGGGTGACTCTAGCACATTCCTGTGACTTTGTTTTAAGAAAGGGTCTGTAAAAGTAATCTGATCTGGAGCAGATGAAGATAGCAGGCTTCCGCGTTGTGGGTCTTGTGAATGTGAGAAGTCGTCTCGAGGGAGGTTGACTAGGGGGAAGTCACCTTGGGGGAGGGTCTCTTGATTATTTTCGAGTTGTGGGAGCTCGCTGTGTGTGGGTTCGTTTTTGGGCAGAGTCTCTTGTTGAAGACCGCTTTGAGGGAGGTTGTCTTGTGCAAGGCCGTCTTGGGGGAGGTCTTCTTGTGGGAATCCGTCTTTGGAAAAGGTCTTCGTTTGGAGGCCGTCTTGAGGGAGGTCCTCTTGTCCTTTGTTGTCCTCCTTGACTTTCGACTCGCTGCGATTTTCTTCGGCCAGGGTCTCGAAAGGCTCTTGAACCACAGCTGTCGCAGATTGCGATGCCTTCTTTTCATCCTTGTTCGCATCTTGCGCGACGGCAGTCATGATATCCACAATCTGCTCTCGAGACATTTGTCGCGTCAGAATGTCGCTTTCTTGACCTCCTGCTGGTACTGTGTTTTTGAGGTTGTCCCTGGGAGGCTCGTAAGTATCTGGGAATGGTCCATTTTCTTCCGGTGATCTCTCAGCAAGCCCCCTGCTTTTGCCCTTCTTGCCCTTCTTTCCTTTACTTGACGGGAGAACTGATGGGAACCATGAATCCACGGCATCCTGGGCATCCTGTTCTTGAATTTGGCGCGTGGTTCCGGGGCTCAGAAGCTCCACGTCTATGGAGTTCGTGCTTGGCTTAGCCTCCACAGCCCCTCCAAAAGATGGTTGAACTGTTTCTTGTTGAAATTGGCCGGCTTTCCGCTTATTCTTCTTGCCTTTCCTGGTCTTTTGAGGAACAAAGTCCTCCCCTTGACCAAGAGCGTTATTATAGGACGGGTAAGCTATTGTGTCCAGAACCATATCATCTAAAGCATGCTCGAAATCCTCGTTCTCTTCTCGGAACAGGTCTTGCAGTATTGGAGCATTGTTCTGAATTGGTTCATTCAGAGCCACAGCGGCAGGGCCTCCTAGGACGGCACCTAAAACAGCGCTTTTCAAGGTAGAGGATGACTCGTGAGGATTTTCCTCGGCGCTTACTTTGGGAGACGAGTCTCTACTAGCCTGCGGAGACAGCAAATCCTTAACGGTCCTTGAATCTTGGAAAGAGGATGCAGTAGGAGAGGTCGCCAATTGTGACTCAAGCAGATCTGACTGTATTGGGTGACTATCCGTGGAGGTCACTGGCGCTGATTGAATCGGCTCATGCTCTGCCTCGTTCAATCCGGAGGGTCCCCTCTGGTGGTGTTCACTTCCCTCCAGATTGTGGACAGATGAGCTCCTTGAGGTTGTATGGCTTGAAGGAAGAGAAGGGTAAGTTTCGTCAGCGTTTGGCTCCTGGTGTAATCGGTGTCTTTCTACGGGCCACAAGGGCCTGATTTCTTTTGAGGATTTGAACTCCGTGGAGCGAGGACGTGTCTTCTGTTTCGGAGTGAGATCAGTCGCCGATTTGTTTGAGGAAAATGGCGTTTGGGACAGAGATCGAGCGGTACTAGATGAGCGGCCTGGTCGACGGAAATGGAAAGGTACAGCTGTAGGCGAGGACGGAAGAGCAGCCGTGGTCTGTGTTGGGCTAGAGGTTTCAGCATCTGAGAAACGCCGGCTCTGAGTCTCAGACTCAGCGTGAGGTGTGGCTGGGAGGCTGGTCGTCTCCGAGAGATCGGAAAGCGCCTCACTTTCAGCACGTGTGTCAGGTGGCGGCGGTGGTTCTGGGCGCATCCCTAAAAAAGACTCTGGCTGCTTTTCCTCAACTTGCTCCGCTTTTATACCACGGTCTAGATATTGGGCCACTGAGCCCGCGTCTGAAAAGAGTGGGGGCAGACTAGTTCCGTGATCCTGAGAGTTGTTCAGCAATTCTTTCGAGTATGCACGACCGCTGGGGACTGGTGTGTATACCTTTACCGGTAGGTCTTGGGAGATCCTACCTGAAACTTGCGGCACGGTGCCTCCAATGCTGCTTCGATCTTTGCTGTCGTGATTGTCGTCCCCGTCGCGACTAGACTTCCGTTCCTCGGTCTTTTTACTCTTCATCTTAGGTTCCCCGAAGTCCTTCAAAATTGACTGGTCTGTAACGTCCTTGGCACCGTCTTCTTGCGGAAGGCTGCCAGGGGATTTACCAAGGACCCGATCCCAGATGCTACCTTTGCGCTTCTCCTTTGGTTCGGAATTGGGGTCTTTGCTAGCTTCGTTCGTAGATGGGGAAGGCACGGTAGACGCAGCATCATCAAAGCCAGTACTATTTCGTTTTGACTTTTTGCGGGACTTCCTGCCGCTCTCTGCTTTATTGCTGATTGACTCGATGGAGCGAACATCTTCAGTAGGCGACTCGTACACGTCTCGGCTCTCCGAATCTAGAGCCTTACTCGTAGTTTCAGACGTCTCGAAGAGATCGTCCCTAGACTCAGAGCCCTTTTGACTTTTCTTGGATTTCCTGGATCTAGTTTTCTTTGGTTTCTCCCACTCGTCATCTAGTTTCTCTAGCGGAACCTGGTTTGGAGGTTGAAACTCAGATTCTTCCACTTGGCTGATGATATCCTGCACAATTGTATCGTCATCTCGCCCGTTGGGACCGTCGTTTCGACTCTGACGTCTAGAAGCTTTCTCCTTTCTCTTCCGGTCTTTCTTGTGAAGCCGTGGCTCGTTCTCATCATCGAATCCGCCAGGCATGCTGTTTTCGTTAGATCCTGGGGGTGAGTCTCGACGTCGGTATGTTGGGTTATTGATGACAATAGAAGGATCGAAGCCTGCATCTTCTGCACTGGCGGCTAACGTGGCCGCGAATGCAGCATCCTCACCATAAATTGCTGAGCTACTTTCCATTGTTGAGTCATTGCGCGGGTGCATTTCATGATCCGGCAAGTCACGCTCGTGCGTGCTGCTTGATAAATCTACTGGATCTGGTACGCTCATGTCCCCAGAGGATGGCTCGACGGATTCATCGTGGTCCTCCTTTGGAGCGATAATTGTGTATTCGTGAGTCTGGTCATCTCCCCACTTGACCTTTGAAGACGAAGGCTCCTTCCGAGGCTCTTCGAAGCCTTCGTCACCGGCATCCTTAGGTTGGGGAATGGGTGTGGAGCCCCTGGTTGAAGGCGGAGTCGGCTCTACAAGCCTGAGCTTTGGTACCTGCCAAGGAAACGACAACTTTGAAGGATCGATCTTGTCGTCGGTGTCCACGAGCGAGAACGCCGGCGAGTCAGAGAGATCGCGGATTCGCTTTGGCTCCACTGTGACAATTTGTGGGACTTGTTCCATATCAATATCAGCGTCAGCATTAGCACTTGTAATCTTTATCTGGTCACTCGATTTGTTAAGGAGTTCGAGTGGGGTGAAGAAAGCACCATAGTTTTCATGAACAGAGCTTCGCTTGGTGCTTGCCGCTTCTTGCCATACAGACATGTCCTGTTTCTCCGGAGAACGCTCTTCGTGATCCACGTACCCGCGTGACGCAGAATTCTCGTCAGGTAGATTTCCGCGTTCCTTGATTGCGGCTTCTTGATCGTCACGTTCCCGCTGCCTTCGTCGACGTTCGCTTTTGCTGAGAGCATCTTCTTCGTTTTCGAGTTCACGTTCCTTCCGTCGACGTTCGCGGCGTTCCTCCCGCGTCTCTTCAGATCTCGACCTGTCTGTTGCAGCCGCAGCACCAATTGCGGCCCCAATGACTCCAGCAGCGGCGGGACCGGCCCATGATTTTTCAAAAGATTTTTCAAGAACTTCCTCCGGCTTGGTGTTCGAGCCTAATTTTCTGCTTGATCGTTCCCTTGAGACACGACGATCCTTCTCAACCTGCTCTTGCTCTTCGGCTTCGCGACGCTCCTTATCTTCCTTTCTCTTCCGACGCCTCTCGCGGCGATCTCTTTCTTCTTGCTCTTCTGTCAGATCGAATCGAACTGCAGAGGATTCGTCTCTCACGGAAGTTCGGCGCGGAGGTGCCATGGAGCTCGATATAGAGTCTTCTCCGAATCTTCCAGGGGATGTGTCTCTCCTCCGTATCCTAAAATCGCGAGCAGTGTCATCCGCCGGTTGCTCGACGCGAGGGAAGCTGCCAGGTATGCTGGCTTCGTGAGTGCTATGTCGATCATCAGATGTTCCCGGATGATGATGATACGGAGTTTGGGAGAACACAGCAGGACCACTTGGCGCACTATGAGAATGATCATACGCCGTTTGACTTGAGTAGATTGATGCTGAAACGGGGGCTATTGGGCGAGGATGTTGAAGAGGAACAGCTTCTGGCCGAGAGGACATGACCGGTCTACTCGAAGACACGATTGAACCTTCTCGCCCAACGTCGAAGCGAGAAGGATCAGAAGTCGGCACTGGGTAGACATGCTGCAGGGGAAGGCTGCTTGTACTGTCCATCGCACTCCCCTGAGGCTGATCTTGAGGCGTCATGGCCGCACCTGTTAGACTTGAACGTGTCGCACTAGCTACTGGGGGAAAGCTACTATGGTCAGATGACTTTCGCCGTGGGGAAGACGCTCTCCGATTTTTTTTGCTGCCCCAACGCCAACCCCACTTATTGGTTCCTGATGACTTGGAAGAAAATGATGCTCGACTATCCCTGCGTACTGGCGCACCGTACGCCAGGTCGGAATCTATGCTCTCGTAGTCGTCTTCTGCAGCCGATTCCCAAAGTTCGTCGTCAAGGTTTCCATAAGATTTCTTGGGTCTGTGCGCTTGTCCGGAGCCATGTCCATCATGACCTTTTGTCTTCTTCGCCCCCACGAGTTCTCTTACGCCATTCTTTCGGTGACCTTGACGACTATCGTTCAGGGCAAGCGCTGCTGCCGCCGCGCCAAGGCCCAGTAGAGCTGCTTCGGCCTTCTTATCATCTTTGGACTTGCCATTCGACCGTTTAATGCTTCGGTGCTTGTCTTGACCACCAGTATATGCCAAGTCCACGCTAGATGACGAGGATGATCCGTTGCCGAACCCGAAGAAGCTTCTGTCTCTCTTCTTCTTCTTCTTGGTCTTGTGGCGTCTCTCAGGCGAGGCTTCTTGACCTTTGTGCTTACCTTTAACGGATGTACGTTTCGGAGAGCGGCTCCGACGTCGAGAGCTCGACGCGACCGCGGAGGTTTCTGGTGCTGCGCCAATAGCAGCTTCGGTCAAGCCAGTCTTTCGATCTCTTGATCTAGACCTCGTTCCTGATTGACGACCCGTGCTATATGTCAGCCTTTTCGTGCCCGTGGAAGTATCATTACGCGGTTCTTTTCTGTCCGATTTGCCATCACCAGTAATTTCAATTTCGAAACGCTCTTTGGAGCGACTTCGACGGCGTGCTCTACGATCCCCCCCATCCGGCGAGAAGCGCCCATTTTTCACACTGTAGGTATCATCATAGTCGTTCTTCTCTTGAAACAAGCTCTCTCCAAGTTTTGCCAGCCCGTAGCCCGGGAGACCAGCGGCCTGCCAGGACTTGTTGCTCTTCCGTCGACCCTCATTGTCGGAAGAATAATATCGACTATCTTTGTCGACGCGCGTACTGCTGCCGTACCGCTCATTTGATTGTCGTCTCCCATAAAGATGTTTTCTCGGAGCATCTCTTGTTGAGGATCCCGGCGCGAAGCAGTTCCTGCAAACACCTATGATCTGAGAGTATTCTTCGAACTGAGCTACTCCTTCAGGATCTTTGAAGAAGTCCAGCAACGCGCCGAAGGGACCGTTATTGCGATGTCGCTGAGCCATGGAGGTTGTTGAATATTGAGGCGCTGACGAGACATTGTGATCTAAAGAGTGATGATTGTGCTCGTAAGCTGCTGCTGCCGCCAACCCTGTGGCGCCTGCTGCCCCGGTTGCATAAATCGGGGTGTTAGACGACTGAGATGATTGCTTGCCTAGCATTGGTGGCTGAGACTTGCTGGAGTACTGTGAGGCTTGTGTTTGAGACGGCGGGCGTTGAGTCGTGACGGCAGAATATTCACTAGGGGCTCCTCCTATTGATGACTTATGATCCGTGCGCTGCTGATGTGTTGAGGTCTGGCTGTCAATGAGATAGCCAGCAGCCGATCCTATGGCTGTCCCACCTATGGTGGGTATGATTGGGGCTGAAGATGAATGGTGGTTGCTGTTGGGTCTGATTTGGCTTGTGACGTATGTTGACGCATTCTGCTGGCCGTGGGTCGATGCGGCTTCATCTTCTTCAAATTCACCGCTGAAGAAGGACGCTGCCGCACCGACCGCTCCAGAAGCGCTCGGCTCTGGTGGCGGGGCTGCCACAGCCAATGCAGGCTGAAGGTGAGGTTCTGCCCCAATGATAAGAGATGGCGTATTTGCCCGATTTCCAGGCTGTTCTGCAACAGACTGCCCATCATCACCATAGTATTCAGCCGCGAGTCCAGGACCTCCTTCGCTGGCGGCCAGTGGTGGACGGTATGGAGCAGAGGACTGAGTCGGAAATTGACCGGGAAACTGATCTTGCACATGGGAGGACATGGCTGGATGTTCGGGTGCGGCGCCGTTGGGTCCTGGTATTGCCCCGTCGTTCTGGCCAGGGAATTGCGAGAAACCAGAGCTCGCAACCTGATCAGGGAAATCGTCAGGACCTCTGCTGCTTCCGACCTCTTCGTCGAGTCCATTCTCAGATCTTCTCAAGCTTCTGCCCTTCTTGTCTCGCTTGTCCCTCTTTCGCTGTCTCTCAATATCTTGATCGCGGCCATCAAATATATCTGTCTTGTCCCGCTTTTTGTCCTTAATTTCGCGAGCCTCGTCCTGATCGCGCGAGGAGCGCGAGGATTTCGACCTCTGCATTTGGTCTGCGAGGCTGGCATTTCTGACTAAACCAGGCGCCACATATGGTTCGCAGTTGTTGTTTCCGGATGCTGTTGCGTAGCTCGATGCTATGGAAGCCGATGCTGCTCCAGGATATTGCCCTCGGGTAGTAGATGAGTAGCTTGTAGATGTAGGGTTAAAGCCTCGTGGAGCACGATCGTCAGCCCGGGAAGAGAATTTCTTATTCGAGTTGGAAGACGCTATAGAATCGGAGCGATGCGCACGAGGTCGCTGTTCATCATCGTCGCGCCGAATACTCTGTGAGGGCAAATCATAATTTGAATCATGAGGTTTGCCACTGAATCGATTCCACATTGTTCTATCGTCCTTGGGTCTGATTGGACGGAATGTTAGAATGCAGCATCTAGTGGGCTAGCTGCGTGACAACTCACTGTATGCACGGTGCACGTATATTACAGGTAACCTTCTGCAAAGAGCTGTAGAAGCGGGGATAGCCACAATTGTCAACAGAAAATTGCCGTGGGTATCAATATGTTAGTCGTAAAGTCATCAATGAGAACACACAGCGTCTACAAGGTCAAAGGCGTGGGCAGCGCGAGATTGCTGGTGTTTGCCAAGGTAGAGCCAAGGCCCGAGGCTGAGAGATAGAACCTCGGGTGGGCTAGCTTAGCGGCGGAAGAGTCTCTTGGGCACGCACCTCCCCTAAAGTATTCGCTCCAGGAGTAGAAAATAAGAAGCACCGCAACACCATTGTACCAGCGCCATTAGGAATCGAACCTAATACGAACTAAATATCCCCAAACAACAGGAGTAGGTAAGTGCCCTAAAGTATCTCGTTCTTGTGGTCGGTGTATTATACAGGCAAGTGTGTGTCTTGAATATTGAATATTGAAAAATCGTCTCCGCTAAAAGTCTATGTCCACGCAACAGAAGTCTATAAAGTATCTATTTGGTCAGAGTATGCATCAAATTTTGGGCATTCAAAAAACCACTCAAGCCGTTTTTACGAGACTCGCAGCCTTCGCACTTTACAGGTGGGATCCTCGGTTCCCTCCCCATTTCGAGGGATCCGTCAATCCTTGGACTTCCTCCTCAACCCTCTGCGTTTCTGTAGTTGGGTCGTACATCTTCGATCTCACCCATTTCTCCAATTCTTCATTTCCCATACCCTTGATGCTTTGCTCACGATCCACGCCCGCTTCTTGTGCAGCTTTGATGACTCCCATTGCAACGATAACACTCACGTCTCGTATCCGAGCGAGCTCTGGATACAGCCAGCCTTGAGAAACTTCAGAAGGATGCAAAGAAGTGCTTAGTGACGTCGCAGAGGCGTATATCATGGACTGAGTGATGGTGGTTGCCTTCGAAAGGATCGTACCCAGGCCAATGCCTGGGAAGACATACATGTTGTTGCCTGAATTTTGTGGTCAGTCGCACGTAGGCGGTTCCTGGTCCTATACTACCTAAGGGAAGGAAGATTACTCACCTTGCCCGGGAGTCTCAAGCTTCCCGTCATGCTCGATTGAGGCAAAAGGGCTTCCACTCGCGAACAATGCCTTGTAGTTGGTATGTTTAAGGGCGTCTTCGAAAGTGCATTCCGAATTCGCCGATGGATTCGAGAGTGGGAAAATGATTGGGTGCTCGTTCCATTGCCCCATTTTTGTCAGCATATCTGGCGTGAAAGCCCCTCCTATTGTCGAAAGCCCCATCAGTATTGTAGGCCTCACATGGTCCACCACTTCCTCAAGGGTCTTGTACTGCTTTCCAGCGTTATCGTCGCGAGAGAAATAGATCTTGTGCTCCGCCAACTTGTCCCCTCGGTCATTAGTCACAAGACCTTTAGTATCGACGAGCCAAAAGCATCGCCGTGCTTCGTCCTCTGTCAGCCCTTCTCGCATGAAATACTCTACAATCTGCTTCGCCACACCCACACCTGCGCTACCAGCTCCGAAAAATACGGCTCTCTGGTCCTTGACCGGAACACCGGTTCGTTTCACAGCGCTGATGATTCCCGCCAGAACTACGGCACCAGTCCCCTGGATATCGTCGTTGAAACATGTATATTTGCCTCCATAGGTTTCGAGTGCTGGGAAAGGGTTTTTAAAATCCTCGAACTGGATGACAATTCCAGGCCATTTCTCCGTCAATGCCACCATCAATTCGTCCAGAAATTCTTTTTCTTCCTGAGCGGAAACCTTTTCTCTCCTGCTTCCCATATACAGTGGATCTTCTCTTAGTGACTTGTTTCCAGTACCCAGATCCAGCATAAGCGGCAAAGTGGCCTCCGGACGGATCCCTGCGCAGGCCACATAAAGAGAAAGCTTGCCAACAGGTATGCCCATGCCATTGATGCCTAAATCCCCTAGCCCAAGGATTCGAGAACCATCTGTGACAACGGTGATCTCGACATTTACCTGCGGCCAATTGTGCAGTACTGACGCGATGTGACCACGATCAGAATAGGATATGTACAGACCCTCTGGTTGGACGTAATTATGAGACCATTGCAAGCAGCCATCGCCGACAGTTGGTGTATAGATGAGAGGAGCCATGTCTTTGATATGCTGAGTGACCAAGCGATAAAAGAGGTGGACGTTGGTGTTACGAAGGCTGCTGAGATAGAGATATTTGTCGATACTCTGCGGCCTTCGTTCTAGCTGTTTCAGACATCTCGAAGCTTGGACGTCTAAGCTCTCGACTGCTGGGGGAACAAGCCCGTATGTGCGATTGTACTTGCGAACGGTGGTGGAATGGGATGTATCGTAGTCGCCAGGCGCTGGCGGTAGATGTGCTGCTGACATTACTCCTTGCGAGGGTACTGATCTTGTATTTGATAGAGCACGATATTTTGGATTCTGTGGGCTTTGGCAGGCCTTTCGAAATGCTGTGCAATTGTTGTTTGATCTTCGTAAAGCACGAATCCCGAGTTTGTGCATTGGCCTCAGGATCGAGGGAAGAGGACGCTTTATTTATTCACCGCATGGAAGCAATTGCGCTCTACAGGATGTCGGCGACTTTCCTCGTCGAGAACAAAGCCGAATGCCCAACAATCGGTGACCGATTACGCACTCGATCCGTACCGACGCACGGAGACGGTAGACTTGAGGATTGGACTAATTACTGATCAGAAATAGCAAAATTTACCGTGCGATGCTGATCTAGGCTCGAGCACACGAGCACTTGCCTATTATTCAAAGATGGAGGCACCAGAGGAGACGGAGTACCTAGAAAAAATAGATCTGCATTTAGCGCCGGTCCCAACCTTGCTCATGTGTGCAAATTTCCCTTAAGGTAGGGACTTTACCTTACCAATGACGTACGGAGTATGGTCTTGGCGGAACGGTTCCAGGCTTTTGAAACTGCAGGCTTGAAATTCTCCACTCGACGTCCTTCTTCACCAACTCAGTGTATTACTACCTTGTGCTTGATGCGCAGAAAGTGATATATTATCCTTCAACCATTCCCTCTTCCAACTGATTCTGCACTCGAAACCCTGGTAAGGCCGTCTTATTTGGCAACGCATCACGAAACCAACAACCATGTCTTCCTGTTTTGGCTTCCGGAAGTCCAAGGGCGAGGATACTGAGGCCTTGCTCCCTCAATATGCGGATGATACGAGTCTGCAGAGGTCTTTACACCAGAAGATGCACACTTATCAGATGATTGTAAAATTCCCTTGCCCCCCCTTTCCCAACGATTTTTAATGCAAGATACAGAAAGCCCTATCAGCTGGTTTCATGCCGTCTACGGAGCAGCTGATCATCAATCTGCGTACTCTTCTAGCATCAGATCTTCTGAACCCAGAAAACCCTGATCTCAGTGACTCTGGTCGACTGCTGTCGAAGTTCTCCAAGCGCTGGCTCTCCCAATTTATCGAAGCTCTACGGCACAAGAACGACAGCGATCAAATACAGGATTTTATCTGGTTTCTATCCAAATCAAGAATCTCACTGGACACTGAAGACATTGCTAAAACTGCGTCAAATGTCAAGGCTAAGGCAGACGCTACTGCTGGTGGGTATTCCAGCTTAGGAACACGTCTTGTCATTGACTGACAATGTCTTAGCCTACGAAAGCCTACGTACCGTAGGTAGCCTACTCCTCACCAACTCAGATTTCAGAATGTTCCTCGGCGACTTGGGCACCATTGGTCGTCAGGTCTTCGCAGATACTGCGTTCTCTTTATCAGAAGTCGCCGAAGAAGCTGGGCAAAAGTTGGAGCCTTCTGAGCAAGAAAGCAAAGTCATAGAGGAGCCTGGATCGGAGGAAGGACCTCCACCCACAGCAAATGATCTCGGGAATGGGGCTGCAGATATATCCAAGGTTGTGGGCAATGGATTGGCAAAGACAGGACGCGATGCATTCTCAAGTTTGCAGGACAATGTATCTGGAGACCAGAAAGAGACGTTGTTGTATCGTTTGAAAGAGGCTGTCATGAAGTTGCGAAAACGAAACGACTACTCAGATTCCGTATCGACCCTTGGGCTCCTGATCAAGCGCTACGCCCTAGTGTACTCCAGAGCTGTGGATGAGACTATCAGTACCACTCAAGAGGACGTGAACACCAATCCTGCGCTTGACAAAGCTATAAAGAACTTCTGGTCGCTCATCAGCTCCTTCGGTGATCGGGAACAATGGCAATTACTAGAGCAGAAGGTCAATAAGGTCATGGATCACTCCCAGACAGACCCTGAGTTCGAGAATTTGATGATGGATGTTGGCAACTCTATACAAAAGCTGCTGACCGATCCCGACTTCTTCGAATCCGCAGACAAGAAAATTCAAGAGCTTCGCAAGAAGGCGAAGGAGGTGGGCACCGAATCCAACATCCGCAACGACATTGACGAGGCCCTCTCACAGTTCCAAATCACCTTCAAATCCCTTCTCGAAGATACTGATGTTTCGAACCTGATCACGACAACTACTAAAATCATCGACATCCTCTCTCCTCTTCATGCCGCGACAAATAAAGATCTAATCCAGGATTTCTTGAACGTTTTTATGCCACTACTTATCCAAGCAGTGCAGTATATCCCAATACCACGCCTCGAAATATCGGTTCCAGAGATCGACCTCCTTCTTGAGAACCTGATCATCGAACCGGGCCGCACTATAAATAACACCTCTTTCCTCCCCTATAAACTCCGCATCGAAACCTACAACGACCTCGAAATCCGCAAAGCCCACACACTGCGCACCACCAGTTCCACCACCTCTCTTGTTACGGTCGCCGTCAATGGCCTTTCAGTCCGAGCGGACGAGGTCGGCTTCTGGCTGCGCGCCCATAGCGGCATATTTCGTCTCGCAGACGAAGGCATTGCTTCTTTCCAGCTCGATGAGCGTGGCATTGATATTGCCCTCGACGTCGAGATTGGCAAAGAAAAGCTTGAAAAGATTCTGACTCTCAAAGCCGTGCGTGTAGACGTACATAAATTATCCTATTCGCTGCGAAAGAGTAAGTTTTCCTGGTTGGCGTGGATCATTAAGCCTCTACTTCGTCCCATTGTCCGCAAGGTCCTGGAAAAGCAACTTGCCACCGCCATTGCGGATGGTATGCATGCCATGAACCGCGAATTGCTCTTCGCCCGCGAACGACTACGTGCTACACGTATCTCGGATCCTCAAGACATTCGTACTTTTGTGAAGGCAATTATCACCAGATTGACACCGGCAGAGGATCCGGATGTATACACAGCAGTGGGCGTGACGCCGAGCAAGGGCGTTTTCAAAGGCGTTTATGCACCAGGAAGTGTGGTGAAATTGTACGAGGAAGAGGCAAGGCAAGCTTCAGAGAGGGTTGACGACGCCACTGTGGGAGGTGGTTGGAGGAATGAGATTTTCGATGTGCAGACTACTATGATGGGACAGTAAGTTCAGGCGACATTGGTTTCATATTTTTCATTTACTTTACCATTGCGGTTGTACCCGTCACGCACGCCCAGACAGTTGTACGGGATGTGACATGACGATTTAGGGAGGAAGCATGAAAGCATGAAAAGCAAAGGGCGTAGGGCATAAGCATAAAAGTTTTGCGCCGGGGCGTACGAATTTTCGGATGGCAATGGCAGCACACAGGCACGATACGGCAAATAGTTAGCGCATATAAAAAGTTGTTGTAGGTGGAACGTGTATCAGAGCATTATCATCTTGTTGAGCAAGCTTTGATACAGTTACAGCGCGACCAATGCTGATACGTTTGGTATACTGAGTGCCAACCGTAGCCCACGCTTGGATTTAAAGTGAGAGATGTTTTGGAGGGCGAAGTGAACGGAAGCGCGCAGAACCATCTTCCTCCTTGCCTTGCTATGAATGCGGCTTCTTATCCTCGTAAGCCTCCGTGACATTGAGCCCCAGGCCATTTGCATCCAAATACAACTTGTTCTTTCCGCCCGCCTCCTGCAAGATCGTTGCGATGTTCCTGGCGTTCTCAATCCTTCTCAAGTCCACATAACTTCTGCTCTTCTTGATGGCGTCGCCAATGAGCTCCGCAGAGCGAGCTTCACCCTGGGCTCGTACAACTGTAGCTTGCTTCTCTTGGCGCGCTTTGTCCACGACGAAGGCAGCCCGTTGGGCTTCTTGCTGGGCGACTTGTTTGGCTTCGACTGCTGCGGTGAATTCGGGAGAGAACGCTAGGTGCTGTAGTAATGGCGGGAGTCAGTATTTGTTCGTACATTAGGAGGAAACGAAGCAATGGACGTACAGTCAACGAAACATCATCGAGAATGATACTGAATCTTTGTGCTCGCCTCGAAAGATTCTCCCTCACTAATCTCGCAACATTCTCACGCTGCGTAATAAGCTGGCTTGCGTTGAATTGGGCAACTACACTCTTGAGGACTTCGTTGACGATGGAGGGTAAGACTCGCTCGTCGTAGTCGGTACCCAGGGTGCGGTATATTGTAGGAAGAGCGTTGACTGCAGGGCGAGAGAGGACACGGCAGGTTATGTTGACCATTTGCAGATCCTTGGTTCCAGTCAGGGAGGCGACATTGCGAGGTTTGGCGCGGACGTCGTAGGTTATGGGAGTTTCGAACCAGGGGATCTTGAAATGTGTTCCTAGATGGTGTGAGCATCGTGGAACGACCGTGTCATGACATGGCAACAGTACCTTCATTATATATCTCTTTCTGTACACCACCTACTCTTGTGTACTTGATAGCTCGATGACCACCGTCCACTGGAAAACATCAGCTGAACTTTCGTTATTTTAGAGTAGTCTTGCATACCGTTGAATAGCGCATTGTTGACCACCACCACACCAGTTCCAAGCAGTAGAAGGCCAGCAGCTCCACCGAAAAAATTCCTAGGACCGCCTGGTAAGCCTCCTCTACCCTTTTGCTGTGCTGAGGCCACGGTCTGCTGCAACTTCCGCCACATTTCCTTTGGGTCTTGTGCCATCTTGAAGCTCTACGCGGAACTCGAAGAATTCTGAAGAAATTGCGATGGACGTAGAATTTGCGTTGTTCATCAAGTCGCGGAGAACATTTAGCTCATTTTTCTCCTCGGGAAATCAATCTTCCGTTCCGCTCCCTCAAATGTCCCGATGCTTCAACTCTTTGTCTCGAAGTTCATCTTGTCTAGACACAGTTGTAGTTTGAACCTCCACTGAATCCGTGCCTAGCTTTAGACAGTACTGTTAGGGGAAACGAAGAGTATTAACACCCTACGGACGGACAAGGAAAAGAGCTTCCTTCGGCACGATGGCAGACAAAGCCGGCAGAGTAGTGTTTATTGGTGAGTATTGCCAGAAGTGAATGGGAAAGTTACTGACTAGGCTTGGCGTAGGAAACATCCCTTATGG